TGTTGCTTTTTCTCTCTCTATTTCTCTTTCTGTTGCTTTTTCTCTCTCTATTTCTCTTTCTGTTGCTTTTTCTCTCTCTATTTCTCTTCTGTTGCTTTTTCTCTCTCTATTTCCTTTCTGTTGCTTTTTCTCTCTCTATTTCCTCTTTCTGTTGCTTTTCTCTCTCTCTATTTCTCTTTCTGTTGCCTTTTTCTCTCTCTATTCTCTTTCTGTTGCTTTTTCTCTCTCTATTTCTCTTTCTGTGCTTTTTCTCTCTCTATTTCTCTTCTGTTGCTTTTTCTCTCTTATTTCTCTTTCTGTTGCTTTCTCCCCCCACCCACCCCCCCCCCCCCCCACCTCTCTCTATTTCTCTTTTGTTGCTTTTTCTCTCTCTATTTCTCTTTCTGTTGCTTTTTCTCTCCTATTTCTCTTTCTGTTGCCTTTTTCTCTCTCTATTTCTCTTCTGTTGCTTTTTCTCTCTCTATTTCTCTTTCTGTGCTTTTTCTCTCTCTATTTCTCTTTCTGTTGCTTTTTCTCTCTCTTATTTCTCTTCTGTTGCTTTTCTCTCTCTCTATTCTCTTTTGTTGCTTTTTCTCTCTCTATTTCTCTTTCTGTGCTTTTTCTCTCTCTATTTCTCTTTCTGTTGCTTTTTCCTCTCTATTTCTCTTCTGTGCTTTTTCTCTCCTATTTCTCTTTCTGTTGCTTTTTCCTCTCTATTTCTCTTCTGTTGCTTTTTCTCTCTCTATTTCTCTTTCTGTTGCTTTTTCTCTCTCTATTTCTCTTTCTGTTGCTTTTTCTCTCTCTATTTCTCTTTCTGTTGCTTTTTCTCTCTCTCTTCCTTTCTTTCTATGTCTCACTTACTTTCTTTTCTTTTTTATTCTTTTTTTCTTTCTTTTTTATATCTCTCTTATTTTCCTTTTCTCTCTCTCTTTCTTTCTATATATTTTTCCATTTTTTCTACCTTTCCCTCTTTCTTTCTATATTTTTTCCAATATTTCCCACTATTACTTTCTCTTTTTTCATATATATAAATATATATATATATATATATATATATATATATATATATATATATATATATATACATATATATATATATAAGGCAAAAGGAAAAGAAAGAGAGGAAATAAGAATAACAAAAATAACTAGAATATATAAATAAGAAATGAACGAAAAAAGTGAAAAGAGGAATTGACTAAAACAGCTAACAACAACAACAAAACAAAGAGTAAAAAAATAAATAAAGAAGAAGAGAGACACAGAAAAGGAAGAAAAGACGAAAGAATTACGAAATGACAAGTGCGAGACTTTATTAGGCAACTTTAAGTCTTCTGTCACTTGTTGAAGGCAATAAATTTCTTCTCCGTTGGGCGTCTTCCGGAGCCTGAGTTCCGTTTTCTATTGGTGAACCGAAGTCTACGGGGGAACTTGATTAATTTCGTATGATTTATTTATGCGAGTGTTATTGTTTTTTTTTTTAATGTTGGTTTTATTCGTTTTTGTTTTCGTTGTTGATGATAATATATTTTATTATATATCATTATTGTTCCTATGATTGTCGTTATTGATTTCTGCTCTTGTTAGTTGTCATTATTATTATCATTGTTTTTATTATTGCCAATATTGTTATTATTATTGCTATTGCTATTATTGTTATTATAATCATTATTATTATTACTATTACTATTATTATTATTATTATTATTATTATTATTATTAATATCATTATTATTACTATTATTATTATTGTTATTATTATTATTATTATTATCATTATTAATTATTATTATTATTATTATTATTTTTATTATTATTATTATTATTATTATTATTAATTATTATTATTATTATCATTATTATCATTATTATTATTATTATTATTATTATTATTATTATTATCATTATTATTATTATTATTGTTATTGTCATTATTGTTATTTTTGCTATTATCATTATTATTATCATTATCATTATTATTATTATTATTATTATTGTTATTATTATTATTATTATCATTGTTGTTGTTATTATTACTGTTATTATTGTTATTATTGTTATTGATATTATTATTAATATTATTATTATTATTATTATTCATTATCAATATTTTTATCATCACTATTAGTAGTAGTAATAGTAGTAGCAATATATTACTATTGTTATCATCATTATTATTATTGTTATTATTATTATCATTATTATTATCATTATTATTATTATTATTATTATCTTTATTATTATAATTAATATTCTTAACATTATATTATTATTATCATTAATATTATTGTTATCATTATTATTATTATTATTACTATCATCATCATCATTATTTCTATTGTTATTATTATTATTATTATCATTATTGTTATTATCATTATCATCATTATTATTATCATCTTCATTATTAATATCATTGATATCTTTACTGTCAGGGATATCAGTATAGGATCAATATTAGTATCAAAATTAGTATTAATATCACTATCATTATTATCATTATCATTACTATAACTATCATCTTAATTACCATTATCATTAATATTATTACCATCAATATTCCATTCATTATTGCTATCAACACCCTTTTTATACTGTTACTGAGACAAAAAGACAGACAGACAGACTATCGTACACTCTGAAGTCTTTTTTCTTCCTTTTCTTCTTTTCTTTATGGGAAACGCTTTCTCTGTGGATATTTTTTTCTTTCTATCTTTCTGTCTACTTCTATAGTTGTGAATTAATTTGATGGTCTCTCTATCTCTTTGATGATATACTTACATGGAAAAAATGAATCTATCCCCCCTCCCTCCACACACGCACATACACATACATACATATAACAAGGTCACACGTACATACATTCACACATACGAAAGTACAGATA